AGAGTGGAAGGAAGAGAAGAGAGGAGCGAGGAGTAGAGAGAGAGAGGAAAAGAAACATCAATGTGAGACACATTAATTGGTTGCCTCCTGGCATGGACCTCCGACCTGGCCAGGGAAGGAACCTGCAGTCCGGGTATATATGCCCTTGATTGTGTTAACAAAAAAACCCATTGAAATCTGTAAAGAATTTTAGTGAGTTTATTTGAGCCAAACTGTCGACATATGCCGGGAAACAGAACCTCAATAAATTGAGATAATGCTCCGAAGAATGGCAGGCTACATTTCTATTTATACATTGTAATCAAAGAAGAGACATAGGTGGGTTACGTAAAATTCATTGGTGATGGATTAAGGATAAAGCAAAGCAGTGGGAAACCCCTGGGATTGGATAAAAAGTAAAATGATGGACGCTTACTTAGGTGAGTGCAGGAACAATTACATGATAAAGAAGGAATTTGAGGCATCTTTCCTGGCGCCCACCACATTCGGTTGTGCCCCAGGGGCTCCAGAAAAAAGGAAGCTACAAGTTAACCAGACATCTCACAGATATGTTATCTTAGAGGCAAAAAGGCAAATGGGCTCAGTAAAGAAGATCTAAATTGATCTTTGTCAGGTGAAATATCAGTCTAGGACATGACTACTATAACCTGTTTATAGTTTGAATATTTAATTTTCAAACCATCTTTTGTGGTTATTTTAGGTCTCTGAGTTTGCAAGACTGCCACTCAGGTCTCCCCTGAGCTTGTCAGGTTAGCATGTGGCTCCTTTTGTTCACAATTGGAATCACCTGAGCCCCTTCTGGTGCACAAGCAGATGCTCTAACCATTGTAACACCTGCCAAGGCTGCCACCACTAAAAATATATTTTAATTTAAATTAATTTCAGAGAGTACGGGGCGAGGGGCAGGGAAGAGAGATAGAAACATCAATGATAAGAGAAAATAATTAATTGGCTGCGTCCTGCATGCTCCACACAGGATCAAGGTTGAAACCCAGGCTTGTGCCCTTGACCAGAATAGAACCCATGACTCTTCAGCCCACAGGCTGACTCTCAATCCACTGAGCCAAACCAGCTGGGGCTGCCACCTATTTTTGTAATAGAACTTTGAGACACAATCATCCCCAATCGTTTACATGTGAGGCCCACTGCACGAAATTCACACGGAGTATGGTCCCTAGGCCTACCCTGTGATCGGGGGCCATCTTCTCCGCCCGCCCACCCACCCCGGTTCCCCATTCGCCATTGGGTGACTGGAGCCTGACAGCCAGGGAGGGACTGAAACTCTGCCAGTCCTGCCGCTTGCTGGCCTCACCCCCACTGCGGGTCACTGTGTGCATGGCCACTGGTGGGGTGGGGCCTTGGCCTGGTGCCACCTGCACCCCCTGACACCCACCCTGTTTCCCGTTGGCCATCGGGCGATAGGAGCCTGCTGGCCGGGAAAGGGACCAAGAGGTGGTCAGTGCATCTCATAGTGACTGGTTGAGCAGTCGTTCTGGTTGTTCTGCTGTTATGGTTTCTGGACTTTTATTATATAGGATTATTTATGGCTGCTTTCATGTTAAAATGCCCGTTGAGTAGTGACAGAGACCAGATAGCCTGCAGTACCGAAAGTATTTACTGTTTGGCTCTTTACAGAAAAAGTTTGCTGACTATTGCTTTATAGAATAGGTATTTACATTTAAAATTTTTGTTTTTACTTTTTTTTAATTTTAATTTTTAAGAAAATATATTTTATTGATTTTTCACAGAGAGGAAGGGAGAGGGATAGAAAGTTAGAAAAATTGATGAGCCGAAGCCGGTTTGGCTCAGTGGTAGAGCTTCGGTCTGCGGACTGAAAGGTCCCAGGTTCGATTCTGGTCAAGGGCATGTATCTTGGTTGTGGGCACATCCCCGATAGGGGGTGTGCAAGAGACAGCTGGTCGATGTTTCTCTCTCATCGACGTTTCTAGCTCTCTATCTCTCTCCCTTCCTCTCTGTAAAAAATCAATAAAATATATTAAAAAAAATTAGAAACATCGATGAGAGAAAGACATCAATCAGCTGCCTCCTGCACACCCCCTATCGGGGATGTGCCCACAACCAACGTACATGCCCTTGACCAGAATCGAACCTGGGACCTTTCAGTCCGCAGACCGACGCTCTATCCACTGAGCCAAACCAGTTTCTGCAAAATTTTGTTTTTATTAAAATAATACATGCACATGTTTGAAAATCCAATAGTGCTAAAGCTTTATTTTATAAAAGGAGATTTCCTGCTGTACTCTTCTCCTTCCCATTGACACTCCTTAGACAGACATGTTACCTTCTTTTAACTATCGTCTGGCCTTTACAGTCTAAATAATTATTCCACTATTTCTTGATGTTTCAATTTTAGATCCTAATTATTAACTAATCCAGGTTAGCCCACTACCCTACTTTTTAGTGTTGTACTATCAAATTTATCATTCTTAGCTGAAATATAATCTTTTATGATCATTTAGTTTTCTGCATTTTCCTCAGAAAATTAACAGGAATTTAGCAATAACTAACATTTATTTATTACTTCATATGTGCCAGGTACTATTCTAATTCAGTTTTATGCAATAAATAAAAATTAAATGAATATTTACCATTATTGTCTCTATATTCTACATGAGAAAACAATATTTAGAGAGATTATGTGATTTTCCTCCCACCCCTCCTTCAACCCTTGGTCAAGCACATAGAGGGTGATAGAGCCAGAAACTGACATTTAGAACTTGATCTCTTAACATTATATTATAACTAGTGTCCTGATGCATGGATTCATGCACATTGAAAGGAAATTAATTAGAAGTATTTTAATATCGCTATTTGCCCTTTCTCTATAATAGAAGTGTCAACCAAATTCACAATGACAGGTTGAAACACACTTGTGTGATTGGCGCCAGCGAGAGCTTTATATGTATCGTGCATGGCGAGTTAACTTAGCCTTTTATAGATATAGAATAAACTTGCTTAATTAGACCTGCTTTCTGATTTAGCTAAACTTTTTCCAGCCTAATGAAGCACCCCAACTTCTCTTTAAGGTAATTGTTAGCAACACAGCAGTTAATGTCAACACAAAACAGATTATTATTGTAGATCATGCAGGGAGAACAAAGGGTAAAATATTTAATTATAGCAGTGTTTGACTAATCCTGTGCAGTGAGAAAACCTGAAGTTATTTTCTTTTTATTTATTTATTTTACTTTTATTTATTTATTTATTATTAAATTATTATCTGTGTACATATTATAACATTGCTCCCCCTGCCATATATACCCTCCCTCCCCAGAGTTTTGTGTCCATTGGTTGTACTTATATGCATGTATACAAGTCCTTTGGTTGATCTCTTATCTCCCCCAGATCTTCCTACCCTCCCGGCTGTAATTTGACAGTCTGCTTGTTGTTTTACTGTCTTTATATCTGTCTTTTGATTCATCAGTTTATAATGTTCTTTAATATCCAGTGAAGTCATTTTCAAGTTCCAACATTTCTTCTTTTCAGTTGGGTCAAGTTTCTAAACATTCTAAATTTTCATTTTCTGGCTAATGAAAAGAAAATAGGATTCTACCAAGTTTCCTATCTGCCTACTCCAAGACGTCTGTGAGGATCAAATGAGATGAGGCATGTGAAAATGCTTCACAAGCATTTGGTTAAACTGTAAAATGTTTGCACCTGGCTATAAAGCAAATCTGGTTCCCGGGCTGAAGAAACTCCAAGGAGGCTAGTTGTTAGGAAGAGGAAGACAGGTGTTGCTATGTGACATTATTGCCTGATACTCACAGCAACCATTTCTGGACTGTAGGCTGCATTTTGCGCCATGGGGTCTTGGCAGCATTGGCTGTGATTTGGTGGGTGTCACTCTAGGGTAGTGATGGGGCCTGTGTCCCACTTGTGGGAAGCTGAGTGTTGGTTTGTTGGTGTCAGGTCAGTGGTGCCATTTATTTTTAAATGGCTAGTGCTCCTGCATTGAGCATCTGCCCCCTGGTGGAAATTGCATGTCATAGCTACCAGTCAGATGGATGGACACTTAGCCATACACACACACACACACACATACACACACACACACACACACACACACACACACACGCATGCCATGTGGAGAATCATACTTACTGACATTCATAGACTTGTAGTTCTGTTAGTAAATGTGAAGGTTTATAGAAATTTTCTGAGGCATCAACTTTGATTTTGATGTGAGACAGATGTAGGAGTAGTCAGATAAGTGGTTTAGCCAGTTGCAGGTGTTTTTCTGAGAGTAATTCTGTTTTCTAATGGATTATAAATTTGCATAGCCTCAGTCTAATGCACTGGCTCTCAAACTTGAACTGCATCAAAATCATTAGGTAGGCTTGGTAAAGCACTAATTCCTGGGCCTCATCTCTAGTTTCTGATTTAGTGGGTCTGGGGTGGACTTGAGATTTCACATTGCTAACAGATTTCAGGTGAAGCTGATGCTGAAGGGACCAAACTGAGCTAATGTTCCAGGAGTCTCTGTGTTACCTTCTCTGTGTTCCATGTTCCATGTCTATTAGTCTTCTCCCACCAGCTAGCTTGTTAGCTCTTGGCAAACAGTTCAGTTACTGTGTCTTACATATTTCGAGGCCAAGATCATATTGCACATATAGTAGGTAGTAATGAGTTGACTGCTCTCCCTTCGAGTGTTTTTGTAATTTTGACTTTTCATCTATAGCATTATAAAATGTAATTATAATACATTCTCATTATAAAAATAACCTTTAGTAGTACTATCATCCTAGCAAAAATTTTAGCAGAAAGCAGGGGCAGCCCCTAAAGGATAATCAGGGGCTATGACCGTAGCTAAGCACTGAGGAATTTAATCCTTGATTGGGGCAGTTTGTAGAAGTATGTAAATAAAGTGACTTGTAAAATCTTACCAATGGATTTTTTTCAATTGTGGCTCTTGCCTTTTGACTTTAGCATTTTTTGAGATCCTTTTTTAATCTTTTTATATAGAGATCAACAGAATCCACATGTCTGGGGCTGAGGAAGCAATTCTAGGAGGAGGTGACAGTCATCCCTCTTCTGCTGGTGGCAGCTCTGTAGTATGCTTTGGACAGGTAACGGTATGGGTTTTTCACACTTGCAAAGAATGAGGTGAAGTGAAAAAGGTATGAGGAAGCAATTTGTAAAGCACCATCATGTACACATGTGTAAGCTGTTTATTGCTATTAGTTTTTCCTTTAGAGGCATTATGTGGGAGCCTTTGATGAATGCAGGGCATTTTGGAACTTTAGCATCAAAATACTAACAGTACTGGGGATTACATTTAGCTTTAAATTTTATTTAGTTTTTGGATAGATTATATATTCATGTGATACAACATTCGGAATGAAACAAAGATGATATGTGAACAGTTTACTATTTCCCTATCATTCTGCCCACCTTCACCCGTTCTTTTTATGGAGGCAGCCAGAGTTTCAGGTGTCATTCTATGTAGAGATATCCTGTGCATATGAAAGAGATTCTTGCTTTGTCCACCCCAAATCTGTCTTCTCTACCAGAGATCTGTTTATTTCATCTAAATGGGGCAAGGAGGAACAACCAAGGGGTTAAAAATCCAAACAAGCAGTAGTATATTTATCTGTGTAGGATGGGAAATTGTTCATTGAAGAAGAGGTACACAACTTTGGAGAAGAAAATGGAATAGACTCCCTGCCATGTTTTCTCTGCTCTCCTTTGCCTGCAGACTCAGAAGGGAATTTTTAGTTTTCCAATTCTGGCTTGAGAAAATTTTGTAGGGATGGAAGTAACATCTAAGGCAGTGGTTCTCAAAATGTGGTTCAGTGACCCTTAGGGATCTCTGAGACCTTTTCAAAGTCCATAAGATCAACATTATTTTCATAATATTAAAATACTAATTGCTTTTTTCAGTCTCATTCTCTCATAAATGAACAGTGGAATTTTCCAGAGACTGCATAGTATGTAGTGGTATCATTGCTCTGATAACTAGGGGATTCTCTGTCTTAAAAGTGTCTCAGTTTTAATTCCTAATATTGATAGATATAACCCACATAAACAAAAGCTCTTAGGGTCCACAATATTTTTTAGGAGTGTGAAAGAGTGTGCAGATCAAAAAGTTGGAGACTTGCTGATGTACAGAATGCTGGAGATGTGACTTTAATTTTCTTTCTGGATTGTAGTACCAGTACACAGCAGAGGAGTACCAGGCCATCCAGAGAGCTCTGAGGCAGAGGCTGGGCCCGGAATACATAAGTAGCCGCATGGCTGGGGGAGGCCAGAAGGTAGGAGAGTTTATACACCTGAAAGCGGGGGCCTCTCGGCTGACTCCTCAGATGATCTCGCCAACTCCCTCTTTGGGCCTCATGGATTGCTGTTACTGATGTTTCCTACCGTCTTTGGGAAGAGGTGGCTTCTACACTCCCTTGTCTTCAGAAGTGACCCAAGCATTGTCTTGAGACTTTTATACCTGGCATTATAGGATTTTTACATAACCCTTTAAAAATGTGTCTCTTACTATTTGTTTCTCATTTTAAGTTTTGTGTATGTTTTTGGTCATCTGTGATATATGTGAACCTGAGATATGTACTCTTTTGGAAACTGAGTTTTGGAAACTGCTAGGCAAGTGGATATCTTTACCCTTGAGTCTAATCCTTCTAACTGGCTCCTTCAGGAAGGACTTTTGCAAATAAGTTCACTGAGAATTTCCCTGGAATGTTTAAGGGCAGTTTTCCCAAAAACCTGGTAAGGAATAAATGAAGTATATTTTGATCTACATATAAGAATGGTAAGAAATTTTAACAAGCTATTTTTTCTTCAATTTTTCCCCAGGTGTGTTACATCGAAGGTCACAGGGTAATTAATCTGGCCAATGAGATGTTTGGTTACAATGGCTGGGCACACTCTATCACACAGCAGAATGTGGGTGAGCAATGGTGACCTCTCCATTCCCCTCACGTGGCATTGTCTCATTTCTGATGAAAGTATTTTATGGGTGAGGTTGTTGGGTAGGTGTATTTGGTTGCCAGCTGGAAGAATATGGGTGAAGCCCAGGGATTCATATCCTCTCCCACTAGTGTTTTTTTCCCACTCCTAGATTTTGTTGACTTTAACAACGGGAAGTTCTACGTGGGAGTCTGTGCGTTTGTGCGAGTCCAGTTGAAGGTGAGGGTGAGGAAATACACTTGCTGCCTCCAAGGCTTGGGGAGGGTGGTGAGAGAGAATGAGCAAGTAGGGAAGTCTCTGGGCTTTGGCATAACTAAGTTGCCAAATGGGGCCCAGAGCTGGGTCTTAGTTAGTGTTCCTTAAGATGGTGGTATTCAAACATTTTCCCCATGTGTTCCCTAAAAGAATTTTGAAAAACACTGTTCTCTTCACATTTTTAAGTTGACACTTAAAAGTTTTCACCATAAATACAAGTAGTTGTAAGAGTATATTTTAAAATTTTACATTCTAAAATAAATCTGTTATATCTTTTTATAATGTACCAAATGATTCTAAATATCATAGAGTATTAAATACTGTCATCCATTAAAAAAAAGTACATGAGCAAGCTATTCTTTTACTTTTAAGCAAGCTATTCTTTATTCATAAGAAATTTTACATTGTTTCTTCTTGAACTCATATTTCCATTCTATTTCTCTGCTGTATTTTATCCTAATACAATATATATTTATCATAGAAACTTTTTTTTTTTTTAAGAGAGAGAGAGGAAGGGAGAGGAGTAGATATATAGGAACATTGATAAGAGAGAAATATCGATTGGCTGCCTCCTGCACATCCCCTACTGGAGATTGAGCCTGCAATCCAGGAATAAAACCATTGACCTCTTGGTTCATTGGTTGACATTCAGCCACTGAGCAACACTGGCCGGGCTGAAACCTTTTTTTATTAATAACTTTACCATACTTCTCTGTCGTGTGTGTGTGTGTGTGTAAATTAAAATTTTTTGATAAATTTCCAGTAACTTGAAGGATCTAAATAAAAGTTTTTTTTAAAGAATTGAGTTATTGTTATAGATAGTATTAGCATACAATTGATTAGTCAACTTTGTTTATGTGGAAGAGACAACATAACTCCATCAAAATTTTTATACTTAATAAAAATAAAATTTTATGGAAAATGCATTTCTTACTGAGGTGGATTAAGCTGTTCTTTTTTTTTCTTTTTAGTTAGTTTATATATCCATTATTTAATGTTACTTATTCCTAGACAGAACATTCAGCCTTAATTCTATTCTGACTTTTTATTTTATGAGTAGTACTGTAAAGCCTTTGTTATAGTATCTCTCATTACTTTGAATGCTTTCTGAGTTATATTTCCAAAAAGCATACAGTGCTATCATCAGAAATTGTATTCAGTTCTCTATCTGCTACAACTGGATCAGATCCACCTTGGCTGGTGGTGAAGGCCAAGACGTGGATACCACATGACTTGGCGAAAGGATTTGCTGTCCCATCATTAGAGTCTGTTAAATACAATATTTAAAATTGAACTTTTGTTAGGTGACAGAGGTTTCTGTAATTTTAGGTGGGGCATCTGTGTGATTGGGGGTGGGTTGAATGAATATGTAGAAGAGGAGGTGGGAAAGAAGAATTGTCTTAACCACAGCCATGTTTCCAAGCAGATCCGATTCAGGAAATAGTGTGGAAATCAGTTCTCTTAAACTGTCTGTGCCCGTGTGCCCTTGAGCAGGGCCCAGTTATGTGTGCCAGGTGAACATGGCTGCTGGAGGGAAAGAAGAGCTATAGAGCCAGAGAGACAGCTGCAGACTTTCATGTTAGCCGTTGAACTCCTTTCTGCCTCCAGGATGGTTCATATCATGAAGATGTGGGTTATGGTGTTAGTGAGGGCCTCAAGTCAAAAGCCTTATCTTTGGAGAAGGCAAGGAAGGAGGCAGTGACGGATGGGCTGAAGCGAGCACTGAGGTAAGCAAAAAGGGTTGGAGTCTAATTCATTTCAGTGCCTTTTTCAAAGCAGTTTTTGTTGTTGTTGTTGTTGTTGTTGTTTTAAGTAATATATTCACACTAGAGGCCCAATAAATGAAATTCATGCACAGGTGTGTCCGCAGTGGCTTTTGGCTGCTGGCCAGGGCCTTCCTTCATTCTTCACTGCCCTCTGGTGCACATCATAGCGAGCGATCAAACTCCCAGTTGGTCGAACTGTCAAGGGGACACTTTGCATATTAGGCTTTAATATATAGAGATTGTCCAAAAATCAAAATACATAGGTGACACTCCCTGTCTGCCCTGCTTTTCTATTCTCCATTATATTTTCCCAGTGCTATTTTATGCTTAAGTCTCTGCTTTTGAGAATAAGTAGTAGATTACTATGTTCTCTGATTATACTTGCTTCTCCTCTTCTTAGTAAAGTATTAGGGGACCTTTCTATATGAGTACATAGTTAGTTTCCTCATTCTCTTTAACACAGCTAGACACCTCTTCATTGTGTATATGTCAGTTAGTTAGTTAATTAATTAATTTTTAAAATCCTCACCAAGGATATTTTTTTCCTGTGGATTTCTAGAGAGATTGCAAGGGGGGAAGGAGAAGGGAGAGAGAGGCAGAAAGAGGGAGAGAGAAACATCGACTTGAGAGAGACACATTGATTAATTGCCTCCCACCTGCACCACAACCAAGGTATGTGCCCTTGACAGGGAATCAAACCCTCAACCCTTCTGTCTGAAGGCTGATGCTCTAACCACTGTGCAACTGGCTAGGGTCCACTTAGTTAACTTAGTTATTAACCTTTTTGGGTTATAGATATCTTTGAAATTTAAAGTGAATTGGATCACCAGAAAAGTACATGTATAAACTTGCACTAAAAATTTGCAATACCATCGCCTGTAATGGAGTGTGTATTATACTAGTAGATCCTGAGTAAAGAACTTTAATGGAGGACTGAGCCCCTGAGAGTGTGTCCCCCATTATTGGGGAATTGGCGCAGTCCTGGGCAAGAAAAGATCTCTGCTCTGGAATTTGCACTCCGTGTCAGGAGGTAGCTAGTGGGGTTTTGTGAATGGTGTCTGAGTCTTCATATTCAATGCCTCTTATTATTATTTTTTAAAATATATTCTATTGATTTTTTTAGAGAGAGGAAGGGAGATAGAGAGCTAGAAATGTCGATGAGAGAGAAACATCGACCAGCTGCCTCTTGCACACCCCCTACCAGGGATGTGCCCGCAACCAATGCACATGCCCTTGACTGGAATCGAACCTGGGACCTTCTAGTCCGCAGACCGACGCTCCACCACTGAGTCAAACCGGTTTCGGCTTCATTGCCTCTTATTGAGGACAGGGATTTGTGACTGTTATGCCTACTGCTGCATTATCACAACCTAACACCATGCAGGAACATGGCAGGTATTCAGTTTTAAAGGCATGTTAGGGTCTGTTTCCTCTGCTGCCATTGAGAAGCAGCTTGCACAGAGTTGTAACTGTGCTCTGATACTTACATATAGCAATTCTCAACCCTGTTTCCCTTTTTATTTCTTACCCTTAGAAGCTTTGGGAATGCACTTGGAAACTGTATTCTGGACAAAGACTATCTGAGGTCACTAAATAAACTTCCACGCCAGGTATGTTAGAAATGGATGAATGGAATGCATTGCAGTAAGGGTATAATTAATTCCCTTGTGCCATAGGTTGAGTAAGGCAGCTCTAGAGGGTCTGGAATATGTATATTGGACTCAATCCCCTTATTTCACAGTTGAAGAAACTGAAGTCTAGAGAACGTTATTTCTGTCTTCTACACGAAGAGCTGTGGTTGGCAGTGGTCTTAAAAGGAGCTTAAAAGGAGCAATAACCCTCACCTGTTATTTCTCAGAAGCACTCAGAGTCTCCCCGGTCCAATCTTTTTGCTTTTTCTTAGTCTTGGTGTCAGAGTCGGAGCTCCCTTGCTTCTGTCAATGCCTTTCCCGGGATAGGACATTGGCCTCTGGAGAACTGGATCTGTTGTGGATCTGCTGCTGGCCGAGCTTGGCTGTTCTCTGAGGTCCCCACAGTGCCGCCACCTGGGGCAGCATTCTCTTAGGGGTACTTTTTCCTGTGGAACCCCTAGTAGAGGTGTGTGTCAATTAGCATCTGTCAAAACTCCATTTATTTTCTTTTTTTTTTTTATTTTATTTTATTTTATTTTATTTTATTTTTTTTTAATCAATCTTTATTGTTCATATTATTACAAAGGTTCCTCATTTCTTCCCCCCTCCACCAGGTTCCCACCCCACCCTCCGTCCCCCCCCCCATTGTCCTCATCCATAGGTGCAGTTTATGTTCAGTCTCTTCTTCCCTCAATTTCCCCAATAGTAAATCCCTTTTCAGATAGTAAATCAGTTACTTAGCATTTTCTCATATCAATAATACCTCCACATGCCCAATGATACACTTCACACAAAAGACATTTCACTCTAGGTCAACCAGCCTCATCCAAGGCACTCACAGATCAACACCCCAGTCCTAAACTAACTCAACACATCCAGATCTAAGCCTTCATCACTTGATTCAGCAGACCCTCAAGTTCCCACGAAAGTTTCCAGCCATGTCTGAGAAGCAGCCGTGGGGCAGGGGCAGGCAAGGAGCGAGCTGTTCTGGGCCTGGCTGCTCAGGGCCTGGCCTCTGTTGCTCTGGTTCATTCCACAATCAGCTGCTCCGGGTCTGGTCACTGCCGCTCCCGACCTAGTTGCTCTGGACTTGGTTGCTGCTGCTCCGGGCCTAGCCGCTCCCAGCCTGGCAGCCGCTGCTCCGGGCCTGGCCGCACCCGACCCGGCTGCTCCCCCGGGCCTGGCCGCTCCCAGCCTGGCAGCCGCTGCTCCGGGCCTGGCCGCACCCGACCCGCCTCTCCCCCGGGCCTGGCCGCTCCCAGCCTGGCAGCCGCTGCTCCGGGCCTGGCCGCACCAGCCCCGCCTGCTCCCCCGGGCCTGGCCGCTCCCAGCCTGGCAGCCGCTGCTCCGGGCCTGGCCGCACCCGACCCGCCTCTCCCCCGGGCCTGGCCGCTCCCAGCCTGGCAGCCGCTGCTCCGGGCCTGGCCGCACCAGCCCCGCCTGCTCCCCCGGGCCTGGCCGCTCCCAGCCTGGCAGCCGCTGCTCCGGGCCTGGCCGCACCCGACCCGCCTGCTCCCCGGGCCTGGCCGCTCCCAGCCTGGCAGCCGCTGCTCCGGGCCTGGCCGCACCAGCCCCGCCTGCTCCCCCGGGCCTGGCCGCTCCCAGCCTGGCAGCCGCTGCTCCGGGCCTGGCCGCACCCGACCCGCCTCTCCCCAGGGCCTGGCCGCTCCCAGCCTGGCAGCCGCTGCTCCGGGCCTGGCCGCACCAGCCCCGCCTGCTCCCCCGGGCCTGGCCGCTCCCAGCCTGGCAGCCGCTGCTCCGGGCCTGGCCGCACCCGACCCGCCTGCTCCCCCGGGCCTGGCCGCTCCCAGCCTGGCAGCCGCTGCTCCGGGCCTGGCCGCACCCGACCCGCCTGCTCCCCGGGCCTGGCCGCTCCCAGCCTGGCAGCCGCTGCTCCGGGCCTGGCCGCACCCGACCCGCCTCTCCCCCGGGCCTGGCCGCTCCCAGCCTGGCAGCCGCTGCTCCGGGCCTGGCCGCACCAGCCCCGCCTGCTCCCCCGGGCCTGGCCGCTCCCAGCCTGGCAGCCGCTGCTCCGGGCCTGGCCGCACCCGACCCGCCTGCTCCCCCGGGCCTGGCCGCTCCCAGCCTGGCAGCTGCTGCTCCGGGCCTGGCCGCACCTGACCCGGCTGCTCTGGGCCCGGCTGCCCCGGGCCCGGCTGCTCCGAGCCTGGCCACTCCCAACCTGGATGCTCTGGGCTTGGCTACTGCTGTTCTGGGTCTGGCTGCTCCCACCCCGGCTGCTCTGGGCCCGGCTTCTCCGGGCCCGGCCACTCCGGGTCTGGGTGTTCCTGGACTGGCCACCCTGGGCTTGGCCGCCTCCGCCTCATGCCTGGCTGCCACTGCCCCAGGTCTGGCTACTCCAGTGCTGGCTGTTGATGCTCTGGTTCTGGCTGCTGTTGTTCTGGGGCCTGGCCGTTGCTGCTCCGGGTCTGGCTGCCACTGCCTTGTGCCTGGCCACTCTAGGCCTGGCCGTCGCTGTTCCAACATTCTGTCCTTTTTTTTTTCTTTTTAAAACGCATTTATGTTGCAATGTTGGCTGGTGAGTTGAGTTCTGACTTAGTCTTTGATTTTTCAAGATCTTCTTTATATTCTTTCTTAAGTAATTTTACTATTGTTTGCTCTCACTTGATTTCTTCACATTGAGAACTTCTTTGGTTTCTTCCTCCTTGTCCTGGGAGCTCAGCAGGTTGGCCTGTGGCACCCCTTTGTTCTCCGCGGGCTCCTGTGCTGCTTCAGCCTGTTGCCGGGACGGCGCCGCCCAGGAAGCAGCCCCCGGCCTTGGCTCCATTGCCCGAGCTCAGTGGTCAAAGGCTCAGGGGCACTCACGCCCCCAGGGGCCCCGTGGCCCGCCTCCTTGCTGGTGCCCGGTTGGCTGGAGTCCTGGCTGGAGTCAGGCAGGGGCTTCCGCTCCCCTCCGTGTTCCCCCAGCCTAGAGCTTTTTTTTTCTCCTTCCCGCTAGGGAAGTCCAGCATCAGAGTCAACAGACTGTCCTCTGCGCGCAGTTTGCGCGAGTCCCACAGACTGTCCTCTGCGCGCAGTTTGCGCGAGTCCCACAGACTGTCCTCTGCGCGCAGTTTGCGCGAGTCCCGGGGGCCCGGCCTTTCGCCGCTCTCCCCGGACTCCACCTCACAGCCCCGTCTCCCTCTGCCTGAGCCTGGGTCCCCAGGGATTGGCCCAGAACTGGGGTTCGGAGCAGTCCGGACTGAGGCTCAGCGCCGCCGGAGGCTTTGTTTCTTCCGGCTAGGGCAACCCAGCATCAGAGTCAACATTCAGTCCTCTGCGCGCATTGCGCGCGACTCCCGGGGCCCTGCCTTTCGCCGTTTTTCCGCCTCACGGCCCTGTCTCCTCCCGCCGGAGCCTGGGTCCCCAGGGTCTGGCCCATAACTGGGGCTCAGCGCTGCCGGTTCGGGGGGGCTCAGCGCTGCCGGTTCGGGGGTTCAGCCCAGACTGGGGGTTTTATTTCCTTCCTGCTAGGGAAGGAAAGGCAGCACCCCGCCCTCTCCTCCTCTCTGGCTGCGACCTCTCTGTGCGTGCGTGCGTGCGGGCGGGCGGGCGCGCAGCATGTCTCCGTACCTTAGGCTTTTTTTCAGCTCCTCTGATTTTCTTTCTGGTTTTCTCTTTCCTTCTTGTTGTAGAAATTTCAGTCAGTCGACTACCTGTAGCTCTGGGCAATGTCCACTCTACATTTTAGTTGTATTCCATTGAAATTGTTGTGTGCTGCCGCGGCTAGATGTCTACCCGAGCAGCCATCTTGGATCCTCAATCTTCTTTTTTTTTTTAAATTCTTTTTATACATATACTCAGTTTGCTAAATATTTTGTTATAGATTTTTGCATCCATGTTTATAACAGATAATAGTCATAGTTTTTTTTTCTTTATAGTAAAAAGCATATAATAAAATTTACCATCTTAACCATTTTTAAGTGTACAGTTCAGTAGTGAAACAGATCTCTAGAACTTCATCTTGTATTACTGACACTCTCTACCCATGAAACCATTTCCCCTTCATCCGGTACCTGGTAGCCACCATCCTTCTCTCTGTTTCTATGAGTTTGACTACTTTAGATGCCTCTTAAAATGGTAACATACAGTTTTGTTTGTTGTGACTGGTTTATTTCATTTAGCATAATGACCTCAAGGTTCCATCTATGTTGTAACTGGTGTCAGAATTTCCTCCATTTTAAAGGCTGAATAATATTCTATAATGTATTAGTATCATATTTTTGGGTTGCTTCTATCGCTCGGCTGTAATGTATAGTGATGTTATGAATATGGATGTGCAATTACCTGCTTTCAATTAATTTGGAGACATATCCACAAGTGGGGTTCCTGGTCCATTTGGTAGTTATATTTTTGAGGAACTTCTATTCTGTTTTCTATGAAGGCTGCATTATTTTGCAGTTCAACCAACAGTGCACAAGGATCCCAATTTCTTCACATTTTTGTCAACTCGTGCTATTTTCTTTTTTCATTGTTTTTATAGTAGCCTTCCTAATGGGTGTGAGGTGATATCTTTTTAAAAATTTTAATCTGATTAAAAATACATATTTTTTGGTTAACACTTACCTAAGGATATTTTTTCCATTAATTTTCAGAGAGAGAGAGATAAAGAGAGAGAGATTGGTTGCCTCCCAGGGCTGGGGATCAAACCTACAATCTAATTATGTCCCTGGACCGTAAATGAATCCGTGACCCTTTGATGCACAGGCTGATGCTCCAGCCGTGCTGGGTAGGTGATATCTTATTGTGGTTTTGATTGCATTTCTCTGATGATTACTGATGTTGAACATCTTTTCATATACTTGTTGGCCTTTTGTATATTATCTTTGGAGAAAGTCCCTTGCCCATTTTTAAAATTTGGCTATTTGATTTTTGTTGTTGTTGAGTTGTAGATGTCCCTTATATATTTTGAATATTAACCTCTTTTTCTTTTTTTTAATTTTTTTTTTTTTTTTATTGATTTCAGAGAGGAAGGGAGA